CTTGAGGGCAAGCAACGTTTAAGTGTGAGGAATTTGATAAGTTCATTTTGTTCTTATTTTATTCTACATGTTTTAAGCGTTATTGCACGAAAATAGCGATAAGCAGCGCATAATTTTATGTTAAAATGAACAATATCCTTGATTTGTTCTTTAAGGAATAATAATTGGTTTAAAGTTCGTCCAGTCTAGATTGTTGATTTTTCTGCTCTTATTTGAAAGAAAAAGGAGTTTTTAACTGAGAATTTTATCATGAGAATCTCGGAGGAAGCTGAAACAAACTGCGAAGCAAAGTAAAAATTGAAATTGGGCCTGAATTGGATCAAGCCGCGGAAAAAGCCCACAGGAGAAGGCCCGAAGCGTCCAAGCCTTGGACGCTTTGCAGGTTGGACGCTTCCCCTTGGACGCTTGGCAAAGATTGGGCATCACGAAAGCCACGTGGCGAGCAACGAATGGACGGGCCGTGTAAGGCGTCCAATTTTGGACGCTTTGGATCTGGACGGCTGGGGTTGGACGCTTCGCGTCCAGTCCTATAAATACAGCACCCCCTCTCCGATTTGATATGCTGCATAGCGCCCATCTCTCTCTCAAGTCCGAATTTCTTCATTTTTTTAGCCTAGATTTACAAAGCTACTTTCATATTTTAGATTAGTATTATTTCTTAGAGTTTTCACGAAGCAAATTGTAGCCCGAATCTCCAGTTCTTCAGTTTGTCGAAGTAAGTTTTGTCAACTCTCTACTTTTAATTGAAAAATGTCTTCTTATGATGCATGTGTGTTGAAAGTTTTTATTATGAGTCGCTAAATTAATTAGGGATGTGATTATTGGAATGGTGGTGGTAATTTTCTGAGAAAATCATTGAGTTTAATTATATTATGGTCAAGACAAATTACTAGTTTTTATTACTGAGAATTTATACTTGAGATTTGTAAATCGAGAGAAGGCAAATCTATTCTTGAAAATTATATTTCTTGAGAGATCTGGAATTTAATTAAGTCAAGCTCAGTAATTCGATAATTGATCTTTAGACATTGGATTGATTGTTAAGCAAATATTTGAAAAGATACTTACTTACTAGTAAAAAGATTTAAAGTAAAAGTAACCGGTGATTTTACTCTAAAAGGAATCATCATCTCACCAATAATTACATCCCTACTTTTTATTCCTGAAAGGTAAAATTCAATCTCCATTCCTTATTCGACCCATTGAAAACTTTTCAATTCAACGAGTAAATCTTGTCTAGCTAGTCTTGCTAAACTTTCCCTTGGGCCGATCCTTGAGACGACATGGGATAAACTGATCATTTAAAGGTCTAGTCTGTTCCCTTTACTACTACGGGAATTTTGATTTAAACCAAAAGTTCTCGTCATGAGAGGAGGCTGGAAGGGCCTGATCTTGTTCGTGAGACCGAGGAGAAGGTCCAGGTGATTAAGGATCGACTTAAGGCGGCTTCGGACCGACAGAAGTCCTACGCCGACCTTAAGAGGTGTGACATCGAGTATGCAGTCAGAGATAAGGTTTTCTTGAAGGTGTCGCCTTGGAAGAACGTCCTACGTTTCGGCAAGAGGGAAAAATTGAGTTCGAGGTTTATAGGCCCGTACCCCGTCACTGAACGGGTGGGACATGTAGCTTACAGGCTCGAGTTACCATCGGAGTTGAGCAAGATCCACGATGTATTCCACGTGTCCATGCTCCGGAGATACCGGTCGGACCCTTCCCATGTGATTCCAGCTGATACAGTCACACTTGATGAGAATCTTATGTACGAGGAGGAGCCGGTTGAGATTCTGGCTCGCAAAGTCCGTCAGTTGAGGAACCAAACCATTCCGCTGGTCAAGGTTCTGTGGAGAAGTCACACCGTCGAGGAGGCGACATGGGAGACCGAGGAATCCATGCGCATTCGTTATCCACATCTTTTCAGTGACCAGTGATCAGGTAAATTTCGAGGACGAAATTTTCTTAAGGGGTGGATAATTGTAACGCCCTGCAACCCGGTCTAATAGAATTGGTTAATTTAATTAATCAATAACTGTTCCGGACCGGAGTTGGAGAAAATGAAAAGTTCTTAGAAAAATTATTTGATCATATCATTAAATTCGTCTTGACTGTCTGATTCCAGAAGTGAAAACGGATCTCAATTCTGACCCGTTTGGGGGGAAAGCACGTACCATTCAGTTCAGACTTTACATAACGGAGTAGAATAAAGATTGTAACCCCCCCAATTAATCCCATACGCCACCCTTAACCCCCATCATTACCATCACCATTATTTCCTAATCATTACTCTAAATTAAAACCCCCATCTCTCCCTTCATTTGTCTTTCCACTTTGTAACTCCCAAGAACCCCTCTCACTCTCTCTTCCTCTCCCCTTCATTCGGCCAGACCAGCAGCAAGGAGGACCTCCGGCGAAGCTCCGGCGGGTGCAAGGTTTAAGGAGAAGAAGGGCTAGGGCGTTCGTGCGAAGCGTAGTCGTCGTTCGTCCATTCGTTGGCGCCATTCGTTCATCTCGTTCCATCAGTCCCTTCGTTTAGAGGTGAGTAGTTGTCCCTCTAATGCTAGAACATTTAGTTATAATCTATGTCGTTATATTCGTAGGAATATCGTACGCAACCTACGTAGAATCTATGCATGTTCGTAGGTTAACCATCCAACATACGTGTGTCCATGTTATCAAGTTAAGTGCTCGTTAATATAAATGTTTTGAAACCTTGTAAGTCTATCGATTATCTAGCATGGAAATATAAACATTCGNTAGAACATTTAGTTATAATCTATGTCGTTATATTCGTAGGAATATCGTACGCAACCTACGTAGAATCTATGCATGTTCGTAGGTTAACCATCCAACATACGTGTGTCCATGTTATCAAGTTAAGTGCTCGTTAATATAAATGTTTTGAAACCTTGTAAGTCTATCGATTATCTAGCATGGAAATATAAACATTCGTTTCTAAAACTTCCAACGTTTTGATAACAAACAAAGAGATATAATGGAAGTCAGCGTGTCTTGATAATCGAGCTACAGAATAGTACAATCGACCTTCAGGCCACGCTGGACTCCTTAGTTGATTCAGCACAGCGTGATAATCGATTATCACATATGCGATAATCAACTATCAGGCCCTGCGGATTCTTGGGTCTGAGTTGGCTTCACTGATAATCGATTATCACACAGGCAATAATCGATTATCAGGTCTCTCTGAACTTAGGACTTTCCAGATAAACCAACTTGACAATCGATTGTCATAGGGTGACAATCGATTATCACAGTCTGCAGGACTTTGGGGACAGAAGCTGCACAGCATGATAATCGATTATCAACAGCAGACAATCGATTATCAGCCAGTTCTCAACCCAAGGCCATCATGTTGAACAAATCGTAATCAAACACATATGTATGAATTGAATTTAACTCTCTTCTTTAATCAATGCATTCTCCATGTTTGTTCTAGACGCATGTTCTAGGTTTTCATCATGTGCATACCGCTGTAGGGAGGATTCCGTGCACCTACTACAGTGGGCCCGTCCAGGTACCTTTGGGCACCAACGGGTTTTCATCATGTTGGGCTTGTGTACGTACATAGTAGTCAGGTTACGGCTACTACCCGGTTTTGCTAGTCCACTCGCGACATTTTAGTCGTGCCCGGCTCGTTGCCATTTGGAGACGATGACCAGAGTGCAGGGGTGATCTTGTCGAGTGAGACTAAGCCAGGGGTGTCCCTGATAGTTTAAGTCATGCATCAGGTCATTTATCATCATCATGTATGTTCCTTATTATTCGAGATAGCTTAAACAGGTGAAAACTAAACAGTTAGTAACGTGTTGTTTTCCCGTACGTTAAGTACAGGTATTAACATCGGTATAGCCATATGGGTTATCACTTAATGTTCTTTTGTTAGATTCACTCCTCAGCTTTTGCTGAGCGTGTAGTTGTTTTTGCTACACGCAGGAAGACATGACGGAGCGGGTGCCAACCCTGGAGAGCAGTGACGATGGAGAGATGGGCGGCGCACGGACACACTCATATTTACTTTTAATTTCCTAATTAATCATTTGGGCATGAACCCACTCTTGTCATTATTTAGTTTGGACTGGACTTACTTATTTACTTCCGCATTTACTCTGCACATTTACTACACACGTTTTGGGAATAACTCCCTGGCATTAATTCCCTAATCAAAACACAACCGTTTTCTTATTAAATAATCATCAATGTTTTTGTAATGGACGGTTCTCGGACGGTCCATGTAACCCTGCCGGTTCGTCGGGACGCGGGTGAACCGGGTCCACGGAAGGCAGGTGTTACAGCAGCCCTCATCAAGAAGGCCGAGTATGAGCAGGCTCAGACGGCTCATCCTCGTCCACCTCTGCCTAGCTCAAGAAGCAAGGGGTCTCTCTCCGTGCCAAGCAGCTCGCACACAAGCAAGAAGACCAAGTCAACACATGCCCCATCACCAGTGCCTACACAGGAGAGCGGGAAGAACCCGAGTCAGAGTGGATACCGTTACTCGATCTGCACCCAATGCGGTCGAAGGCACCCCGCAGAGTGTTGGTTTACTCAGGGCTTATGTCTAGGGTGTGGTCAGGCCGGGCATTTCCGTAGGGACTGCCCGACGAACTCTGGCGAGGCGTTTATGATAGCACCCGAAGCTCCAGCCCAAGTCGCCCAGCCTGCTCAGAGCCAAAGATCGGTAGCAGCGTCCAGCCAGCCCAAAAGGCCGACGCTGAGCGCTCAGTTGGGAGATGCTCCAGCTCACACAAATGCAAAGCACGGACGCACTGAGTAGTTCGCACAAGACGTAATCATGGCGATCAATGACTAGGTAAATTTCGAGGACGAAATTTTTCTTAAGGGGTGGATAATTGTAACGCCCTACAACCCGGTCTATTAGAATTGATTGTTTTAATTTAATTAATTACTCTTCCGGTCAAGAGTTGGGGAAAATCAAAAAAATCTTAGAAAAACTATCTGAACATGTCATTAAACTCCTTTTGACTGTCTGAGTCCGGAAACACAAACAGATCTCAATTCGGACCCGTTCAGGGGGGAAAGCGCGTACCGTTTAGGTTAGATTTTAATATAACGGAGTAAATAAATATTTGTAACTCCCTCTCTCTCACGCCATTCCTCTTCCCACATGCACACACCATTATTTCTCATTCAATTGCCCATTAATCCTCATCATTACATATTCAATATATAAGCTCCTTCCTCTCTTCACTTCCCTTAGCAAATTGTAACTCCCAAAGACAATTACACATACTCTTCCTCTTCCCTTGATTTTCGGCCAAGGCAGCAAGCAGTCCTAGAGAGAATTCTGGTGGGTAGGCGGAGGGTAGAAGAGAAGGGAAGTCACGTAGGAGGTGGTCGGTTCATCCGCTCGTTGGTTCATAGTAAACCGTTCATCTCGTTTTTCGTTCCATCAAACCCTTTGTTAGAGGTGAGTAGTTGTCCCCTCTAAAACAAGAACATTTAGTTATAATCTATGTCATTATATCCATAGGAATATCGTACGCAACCTACGTAGAATCTATGCATGTTCGTAGGCTAACCATCAAACATACGTGTGTCCATGTTATCAAGTTATGTACTTGTTAATATAAATGTTTTGAAACCTTGTAAGTTCATCGGTTATTTAGCATGGAAATGTAAACATTCGTTTCTAAAACTTCCAACGTTTTGATGACAAACAAACAGATTAAAAGGAAAACAGCGTGCCTTGATAATCGAGTTACAGATAGTACAATCGACTATCAGACCACACTGGACTCCTTAGTTGATTCGGCACAGCGTGATAATTGATTATCACATGTGTGATGATCAACTATCAGGCCCTGCGGATTCTTGGGTCTGAGTTGGCTTCACTGATAATCGATTATCACATAGGCAATAATCGATTAACAGGTCTCTCTGAACTTAGGACTTCCCGAAACAACCAACATGACAATCGACTGTCATAGGGTGACAATCGACTATCACAGTCTGCAGGACTTTGGGGACAGAAGCTGCACAGCATGATAATCAATTATCAGCAGTAGACAATCGATTATCAGCCAGTTCTGAACTTAAGGCCATCATGTTGATCAAATTGTAATCAAACACATATGTATGCGTTAAATTTAACTTCCTTCTTCAATCAATGCATTCATGTCATAATGTTCATCCTAGACGTATGTCCTAGGGTCATCATCATGTGCATACCGCTGTAGGGAGGTCAGGCTTACGTGCGCCTACTACAGTGGGCCCGTCCAGGAACCTTTGGGATCCAACGGGTTTTCATCAGGTGGGCTTTGTCTACGTACATGGTAGTCAAGCTACGGCTACCACCCAGTTTTGCTAGTTCACTTGCGACGTTTTGTCGAGCCCGGCTCATTACCGGAGTGCAAGGGTGATCCTGTCAAGTGAGACTAAGTCAGGGGTATCATGCATCAGGTCATATCGTCATCATGTATGTTCATGTCACGTCAACATTCAATGTGGTTGTCATCATCATGTATGTTCCCATCATGTCCATATTCAATGTGGTGGTATATCATTCTGTTAGGTGTAATAATATCCCATCAAGTGCAAATTAATCAGTTAGTAAACATGTGGTTTTCCGTACATTAAGTACATGTATTAACATGTGTATAATCACATGGGTTATCACTTCATGTTCTTTTAGTAGATTCACTCCTCAGCTTTTGCTGAGCGTGTAGTTGTTTTTGCTACACGCAGGTAGACATGACGGTACAAGTGCTTGGAAGTCAGTGATGATAGGAAGATGGGCGGTGCACGGACGAGTTTAATAATTATAATAATTGGAATTAATTAATCATTTGGGCATGAACCCACCATATGTCGTTTTACTTATTTTGAACTTATTTATTTGCTTCCGCTTTTACTCTGCTTTTATATCACACCCTAGCATTATTTCACCAATTAAACTCAACCGTTACATAATAAATAGAAATTAATGCGTTTTTCTCTACGGACGGTTCTCGGACTGTCCTTGTAACCCTGCCGGTCTGTCGGGTCGCGGGTGAACCGGGTCCACG